AGTAAACAAACTGGCCAAAGTAGTGTTTTTTCCCTTCATTATCCTGGGATGGCTGGAGTTCAGCTGACCCTACTAGCGTTTGCAGACTGCTCCGGTGGTGGGATGTAAAGAAAAGTAGTAAGGACACAGTATTCATTTGTATATAGATGCAGATGAATGTAAATAAATTTTAGAGTAATAAAACAATAAATACCCTTCAGGTAATGAAAGTGGCTTATGATCAAGGATACTTCACTAACCAAACTTGATTGTTTGAAAGGAAAGGAAATTTTGATCCTAATGAGATTAAATTTAAAGTGGGCAGTGTGCTTCAAAGCAGAGATTAAGCCCTTGGATTTTATCATAGACTGCAACTTTTCAGGACCTATTCTCTCAGCTGAAGCCAGAGGCAAAATTCCTGTGGAAGGCAAAGTGGGCAAAAGAATGCGTGCTCCAGTTGATGGACATATATAACTGGAAAGTTAGTCACACTTAAATTATAAACTGTTCCATGGAAGTTTCCATATATTTGGTGTCTATATTTGGATGGCAGTTGATCACAAGCTATTCAAACACATTCTGCTTCAGCTTCTCAAGAAACCCCTTTATGTTTACTCTCCCAGGTCTAAACCAGTCAGTCAGTAAGATTTTTTGGATTGATTTTATTAGACTGAGGATCTAAGCTTCCAGTTTCCAGGTGGTTTGTTAAAGATGCAAGTTGATATTCTCTGACAACATGCTCAAGCCTTGCGTGCAACAGAGACATTTTCTGATTTTTGTGGCTTTGATGCTTCCTGGAGCTGACTTACTCTTCAGCCTAATGAAAGGAAGGAAAGTGCTGGGAACTAGAATCTCTGCATTTAAAAGCGGTGACTTTGGTGGAGTTTCATAGTGATACTAAGTTGGCCCATTAGAAATATGGCTTAAAATCAAGGCATAAAAAATTGTCACTGCTTTTCTTATTCAGAACCAGGGAACAGAAAATACAATATTTGTATTGTATGGTGCCATACTTGGTAGAAGAGAAAACCTATGTGACAACACTGATATGAATTGCAAATAGAAGTAATTAAGAACGTTTATGGGAGGAACAACTGTTCTGATGGAACTATTCTACTTATGTGCCAAACCCCTCCCTCAAAATTACTACTTAAGCTGTAGAGACGTATAGACATTGGCTTTGGATGCAAATATTTTTTGGCTGGTTACTACATAGCTCTTCTTTACTGACATTGTTTTTGAAAGGGGAAGTAAATAGTTTTGAAGTTATTTTCTCTTAAGAATATGAGGATGGTCTTGTTTTTGTATTTTTCTTGTTTCTTGCTGGTTTAATCATTTCACAAGCAGTGATTAAGGTTGACTTCTGAGACCTGTTCTTCTTGCACTCTGCTTGAGGAGGTACTATAAAAGATTTTTGCTACCAGTTCACAGGTCTGGCAGTATGAAGACTTGTCTGCAGTTTACTGACCTTCAGTCCTGAACTGTGTACCTGCTTTTCCTATATACTGCACTTGTCAGACAAGTGTACAGCAAGCATCACGCCATCCAAAGATGTATATAGAAGGTGATTCATGGTCAGAGAGGATCTAAATGCCTAAGACTTGCCTGAGATGTAAAATTTGAGGTGCCCTGGAATTGGAATCGGAGACCCTGGTCTGGGTACAGAGGCATTCTCTGCAGACCCTGGGGCTGTGCCAGCACCTTGGCATAAAAATTCTCAATGCATGACCTGCAGGTTCGGCAGGGAGCTGCTTTGTACAGACACAACCTTTATACCTCCCTGCTGAAGTAGCATGCAGGAAGTAGTAAGCGTGGAAATTTGTCTAACGTGTCCTTTGCATGTGTAATCCCCGACTTGGAATCTCATCCTGGAGATAAGTGCTTGTAATATTTCCTTTAAGGACTGAGAAGGGCATACTGCCAATGTAAGAGGAAGCCGTGTACTTTCAGTTATAAAATATCCTATGAGTAAAGAATTCACCCAGGAATTGTAAGAAAGGGACAGATTTGGTGTCTGTCTTGGGTCTTCTGGCAGTGAATGATTCCAGTGCTCAGGTGTACCTCCCAACCAATACACGGGTGTAGGTTACAGCCCTTACTAGATGTTATCGTGGTACAAAAAGTAATTTCACTTTCTTTAGGACAGCAAATTAATAGAATTTTGTAAATTTAGGTTGCTCTGGAAGCTCCACTGGGAAGGGTGAGTTTTGAACTGTGTTAATTACTATTTAATTTAAAATTCAGAAACAGCTCTGGGAGTTGCAGTTAGTACCTAAACCACTGAGCTTAGAATCTTCTACTCTTTTTCTGAGTGGAGGAATCTTGATTTCTGTTTTATGTGCAATAGTATATCATCAGCAGTGGGGTTGCAAATCCAAGGCCCCTGAACCTTGTGAGTACCTATCAGGGAAATAAAACAAAGAATCACAGAATTGTTTGGGTTGGAAGGGACCTTTTAAAGATTGTGTAGTCCAGCCCCCTTACCATGTTTTTTTATCATATAGGTTTTCATCAGTCTCACTAGAGAACAGAACTGATCCCCTGCAGGCTGTATTCTTGGTTGACAGTACTAATACCTGCAGCAGTGTTCCCAAATGGAGTTTGCACAAGCAGTTGTAGCTGCAGCTCTATTCATTCTTTGTAGTGCTTAGTCCAGCAGCATAAAACTGAACCCTTGTACTGTGGCTTTACCTACCTTCTTAACCAGAACAGAGCTTCAAATCACATCTGCTACCCTCTACCATGCTGTTCTTTCTCCAAACTTCCCTTCTACTTACAGCACAGTCCAAATGCTTTCCACCCTGGCTCAGTATCTCACCAGGTCTCAATCCTTTTAGCTGTATCCTACCACTGGTTTTTTCCTGATCAAAACTGTGCTCAGAAATGCTTGCTTCCACATAAACTTTGTATAGCCAAAAAAGTATTTTCTGTACCCATCACTTCCTATCTCAGTGTAATCAGGCTGTATGAACGGTGCAAGTAATGTGTCATCACCTTTCCTGTGAAATGGAAATATTTGGACATTTAGCTCTGAAGGTTTCAGTGTTCCAGACATCCAGACCTGCTTTTTCCTCGATGAATGAATGACGTGAGTGAAGCTGCCGCCTCCTTTGCAGTAGTAAATACAAAGTACAAGAGAAAATGTGATTCTACTAGCCGGTACACGATTCATATTTAGAGGATTCAACTAGCATTGTACCTAGTCTGAACAATGACTAAAACTCTGATATTGACTCATTCAAATTATAATATTTGCATAAATAGTATCCTTGCTACTTGAGGATGATTTAGGATTCTTTCTTTTGCCAGTTGGGGTTTAAGATAATACAGACAGTTAGGAAGCATCATGTGCAACTTAAGCTATACTACATGAGGGTCATCATAAAAAGACTTCTATATTACAGGATATTAAAACGGATAGCAGCAGTCTCAGTTTTCTTGCAATATATATTTCTATAAAAAGTTTATAAACTAAATGAATTAAACTTTTGCACAAAGTTGATATTGCATATGAATTTATACAGCAATAGCTGAATACTCTTATCTATAAACACATAACAAAATTAAAGATAACAATTAATAGAAAAATACAAGGCATCTTTGCCATTCGTGTTTAGTGTAATATATAGCCAGTCATAAGTTATTAAAAAATGCACAACAAAAGCCTGATGAATACACTCCCTTCTGTGCCACTCCATAACTACTATGAATTTACAATCAATAGCGGGGGGGGGGGAAGAAGGGAAACCCTAGATTGATAGGGAAAGTGCTGTTTTGTTTTCTACTATAAATTTTACTTGCAAACTCCTTTATTTTCTAAAGAATACTTTAAGTCTGATATTCACACCAGGGATCTGGAATAACTCAGTGAATATTGCATCATTTTAACCACAAGCCTGTAGATATAAATATATCAACACATTACTAGGTATGCAATCAAATTAAAGCCTTTTTTCTTGAAAAATATTCTTTCATCTTCAGTAAACCTCACACACCTTTAGAGATGTTTTTACGAGCATTAGAAAGTTGTTATGCTGTGAGCTACTGAATCCCACTACATGTCTTCCTACTCTCTTCTAACCAGGTAATCTGTTATAAATCAGTTAGGTTTCAAGGTCTGCGATAGATACCTTTTGGATTTGAATTTGAATGCTTTCAGTTCGCAGTGTGTGCTCTAACTGCCCAGCCAATAACAACTTTGTAAAATCAAGACAGTATGAGGCAGTAGACAGGAAAAAAATCTGGTTATCAGACATATTAGGTGTATGTTGACTTCAGTTGTGTAGGAAGCAGTAGTATCAGCTAATATGTTAGGATCCATATCCTCAAAAAGAACTACTGTGCCTTAAATACCTTTCCAAATCTGTGCCAAAAGAATCGAACAACAGAGATCCACAGAAATTTTTGTGTAGAAGTTAAATGTCTTTTGATGTAAACTTTGCCAACCAGATGGCAGTATCATTCACAACAGCAAAACCTCAACTAGTAAAAATAGACTGTTCAGCTACAACCTGTTGTACCTTTTCTTAAACTGCCCGGCCATAATGGATGTTGTGCAACTGAAGCACTGAAAGTACCTCACGCTATCAGCAGAACTCCTTGAAAAGACACAGAATCGTAAGCTACAGAAGGCTTATAGAAGATAGTACTGTGTATTTAAAATGATATTTTTAACTCTTAAGAAGACATCTAGCAAGTGACAGCAAAAATGTCAGAGCTGTATTGTTTCCTCTGCTGATACCTGATAGCCTTAAATGCATGATATGCATAGCTTTAAACTTGGGGATGCTATATACCTATTGAAAATAATAGCTGTTGGCCAAATTCTGTGTTCCTGTATTAAGTACTTCTAACAAGCTCACAAGAATCCTTGACTGGCTACAGAAACAAAAAGTAGCCATCCTTCTTCCCTTGTATTATGACAGTATATGTAAGAATAAAACATCTGTACTTTAGAGGGACCGTTTCAGTTTCATGATTTGTAGTTTCAAAGTAGTAATACCCAACAGCAGATTTTTGCTTTACTGTTTAGAGTCCAAAAAATCTTTACAGATGCCTCTAATAACATCAGGAACCATCTGCTCCAATCCTGTGAACTCCCTAGTGAAGAAAGTATGAGATTCCCTTGGTTCGGAAGCCATGTCTTTCAGATCATCCAGAGGTGCCCAGGCAACACCAACAGAGAAGACCGTTATTCCTACAATAAGGAAAAAAAAAAAAATTAAGACCATTTTGTCTATGGATACAAGAAAACCAGCCATTTCTACATCCATGAATTAATCTGGATCGGAAAAGCATGTTTCAATACCTGCAGTCTGTCAAAGATGATTAGATTTTGCCACTAAATATCAGGGATTAGAAGATTTGTCTCAGTAAAAATCCTGAAGGAAAGATGGGGTATCTTAAGAGCTAGTGTCTTAGTTGTTTTTGTAGCAACACGTATGAGTGTAGCAGTTACAATGTCAGTCTTGAAACACAAGTAACACTGTTAAAAGATTCTGAAAATAAATTTGGATCCTTTTGGTATGCTTAATGCTTTCAAGCATCAGCAGCCCAATGAGCTTTTTGGCCAAACCTGCTTATTTCCTTCCTAGATGATGATGGAGAGCAGGAGTCGTGCTATACTGGATGCCATCATTGATTGGAGCTTCACTACCTGGCTCTTTATTTTTAATCTACTGATGTCTCTTATTAGGGAAGTAAGACTGGATATATATTTTTCACTAAGCTGCCATGAGTGAGTCTACTCATACCTGGCTCCATCGCACTGTCTTTTTTCATCATAATAGAAAACAGTTCCTTGGGGCTTACGTTTTGCTGAATTTAAAACAGTTATGTTACTTGATTTGCTCACTGTGGCCATATTTGCAAACCTTAAAATCTTAACATTTACAATACAGCAGAAATAGAATGAATCAACTTCCACTGCTTTTAAAGATACATCATTTACCTGCTTTCTGTGCAGCTGCTGCAGGTCCTCTAACATCATCGTAAGACTGACCATCAGTCAAAACAAGGAGGAAATTTTTGTTAGGTCCATCTTTCATTGGCCCAAACACGTTTCTGGTTGTGAAAGAAATGGCATCACCAGTAGCAGTGCCACCGCTCATGTAGCGAATGTTCCGGATAGCTGAGAGGACCTTTTCTTTTGTGGTGTAGTCTGTGAAGCTGAACTCTGTACGCTGATCATATGTGAACTGCACGGCTGCAATCTTGGAACCAATGTCAGAGATCTCAAAAGCCTTTGCAACGTTGCTGATGAATTCAAGCACAAGGCGGAAGTTGCTTTCTCCAACGCTGCTGGAACCATCTATCAAGAAACCAATGTTGACGGAATTGTAGCATGTCTTGCTGCACAACATCTGCTCATGTGAACACAATTTTTGAACAAGAGGTTTCACGTATTTGGTAGTACCAAACCAGGTGGGCATTTGGTAAGAGAAGAAGCCGTTGTTTCGGCAGACAGCCTGTTTGAAAACAAAAAGTCAGTAAGTGAATACTGACACAGCAGCTGTATGGATGATAATCAGACATCTATGCAGTTTTCTTTCAAAACTAGGTTAGAAATGGAGCCTGATGATGGTGGTTTGGGGTGGGTTTTTTGCTTGTTTGTTTGTGAAGAAATTGAAGACAAACATCTGCAGTTGAAGTTGGTGAAAGCTATAATATAGCTTGTTTTATCCAATAATAAAGTTAAACCCTGCCCCCCAATCTCTGAAAATTTCAAATAATTTCACTTCACTATTAGGCTTCTGTGTTTTCCCTTTGAACTCAGTAAGTACTTTATTTTTTTAATCTGTGATGTCTCATAAACACAGACATGCAGTTTGGTAGAAATATAGCTCCAGGTCATCCAAAGTAAAATTTATTTTTCCCCTGGCTTCTACAGGATGCATGTAGAGTGCAACATAATTGAGAAAGGGGTTAAACTTAAAATCAGCTCTCCAAGGTGATAACTAACCTGACTAAGATCAAAATGCAGAAGGGGAGGGCAGGCCTCAGTCACCTAAGGTCACGTCTTCCTGTGCCTACAAGTATATAGGAGTTGGACCTGCCTGCAGTAACACTGGGGCGGTGAGCAAGCTGTCTTGTGCCTGGCAGTGGCAGAGCTATAGTGCTTCAATCTCTTCATGCTCTGAGATCTGAATTTTCTGCTGAAATGAAACATCTAAAACCTCCCTGTGAAAAATGAGGGGTTTTCTCACTGGGGAGTAAGTAAAGACCTAGTGATTAGAAAGCTCATGTGAGAGTAGGTGATCTCTATTCAAATTCCTACTCTAACTCAAGCAGAGCAATATCCAGAACTCTTCATCCAAAATGAATGGCTTGTATGTGAACCTGTTAGGATGTGGGTTTCAATCTTTCCTGTCATCTTTGTAGTGAAAGTAAGTAAATAATCCTCCACAGAGCAGGTACTGAAAGGTATGCCTCCCTGCCTGTCATTTCAGGATAGGAGATGTCATATCTGTGTTTCATTGCCTTTGATACATTTAACCATACCTACAATAGGGGAATCTCCTATTCTGAGACTCTTCATGTAATTACAAAGTCCAGGAGCTACAGCCTGGCCAAGACTCTGAACTGGGAGGACAGTGATAGCAC